GCATCCCCCCCCCCCCACTTCCTGATGTAGCAGAGGCACGCACAGGCACATGAGCGTGCTTATCTTTGAGAAGATGCTTTGTGGGGACACTGAGTTCCGATAAGTGGGTTTCTGGCCCTTATGTGAACTAGCAGGACACGCACATCACCCCTCCTGCCCCAAGTCTCGCTGTGAAAGGGCCTGTGATACCTAAAGGAGTATATGCAAGCACACCATCCCTGTTCCCGTTTCTCCCGCTGGGTACAAGTTTAGACATGAACGGCGCTCACTGAAGAATGATCTTCAGGATCAGCCAGGGTCTCAAGATGAACTCAACACACAAAGCCTAGAGGTAAGATCCCAGCTCTTTCTAGGAAAAAGGGACTTCTGGTTAATGCTTCCTGCAAGGCTAAGGGTAGCCTCGGTTCTAAGGGAACCCATAGGAGACTTTCCAGAGGCTGCTCTTCCATGTGCCGGAGCTCAGTCTCCCTTCTTGGCCAAAGAGTGTGAGCAGGGCAATTGCTCCAATATGGAGACAGGACACAGGTGATGACTCACCAACCATAAACACTCAGGGAGCCTCTTCAAATGGGGTTTCTGACAAAGGGGGCCCAAGGATGTGCACCTCCCCACCTGTGAGTGGCACCTGTGCTGCCTGGGTGTGCCGCCCAGTGGGCTGGCCCCAGGTGACACCCAGGAATCCTGCGTCAGAGGCACCCTGCCCTCCATGGCCACCCAGACTCCCAACTACCCAGCGGTGGCCCTTACAGGAAATGCCAGTTTCTGCCCCAAAGCCCCCACTGGCGTTTACTTATAGCCAGGGAGCCCAGCTCACATTGGCTACAAGAACCTCCGGGGCAACTCCAGCTAGCTAATCTAGACGTACCGAAAACACTTGTGGTTTATTAAAAGTTGCAAGTGTGCCAACATGGAGACCAAGTTTTCCATGTGGTGTTATGTTCCTTTCACATGAATACATTTGGGCTCCACCCTGACCACTACACGTCACTCAAAGTGACAACGGCAGGCCTGGGGGTTTCAAAGCAGCAGGGAGTGACCAGGTGCCCCGTCAAAAACCGGAAAATGATTATCTTAACCACACACACAACTCAGTGCCACATTCATAAAAAATCTATTTTAAAAAAATACCTTTTTCTTAGAAACCATGTAAGGACAGAGTGAGAAAGTGGCCGTCTGCAAGCAGAGGAGAGCGGCCTCAGAAGAAACCAACTCTGCCAACACCCTGATCTTGGATTGCTAGACTCTATAACTGTGAAGAAATAAATTTGTTAAGCTAAAAGAACCAAAAAAACCCAAACAAAACCTTCCTTCATGAGTCTTAAGTAGCAGATCCAGCCTGTTCTGCCTCTGCCTGAAATGAAGCAAAGTTCTCGGATTATTTGCTAACAAGCTTCCTTTGCTTGCAAACAAGGCCCTTTTCTGGGTCTGACCTCGAGACATCCGGGAGGTGTGTGTGCAGCCGGCCCATGTGTCAGTGCACACCCTCACACACACACCTGTCTGAGAAGGAACAGGTCAGCCCTGCAGTGACAGAAGGACTCTGAGGCTTCTGCCTCCCCATATAATCTGTGCCATGTCGTGACGTGGTCACCATGGACTTCACGTGTACGTCTGTATGCCCTACATGTCCACGGGCCCAATGGTGCCAGCCCTTAACTAAGTAGCACCAGGGATGCAAACTTGGTCTCTGAAAGGAGAAGAGGGTGTCTACGTCACATGTGCCCAGCTGAACACAGCTCGCAGCGGTAGCCACAATCCACCCTCCACCCAGCCTGACATGGGGTCAGCGAGACACCTGTGCCACAGACAAGCACACTGGGGTCTTTAAAAGGGTAACCCGCTGGGATACAGTTCTTTGTCTTTCCTAAGGAGATCATTGTACATCTGATCATATGTGGTTTTGAAATCATAGACATTGGGCTTGTCGGGCGCTGGCCCTGGAAGCTTCACGTGAGTCCCTGTTCCAAAGGACCGGACACTGAATCCCCGTTTGCTGAAAGACACAAAAGGAGACAAAGATCACAGTTGGATTAAGTAAGGTACAAAACCCTAAAAACAAGGGGCATGAGATGGAAAAATAAACGAGTAACTGTTGATATTTGAGAACATGTTTTTAAGTCCTTAACTTTAAATACTTTATTCAAAATTTTAAAATTCCTATAGCATGTTACATAAAAGCTAGATGAAACTGAAAATAACAGAGACGAAGGGCTGTCTGGCTCTCTCCCACTGCCACGTCACCACCACTCAGGCACATGATAAAGAGCTGCTGGATGGCGAACGGGTGAGTTCACGAGAGGGAAACAAACCTCACTCAGATGGGGCTGCTGGAGTGACTGGGAAGCCTCTGAATAAAGCGCTGGCATCCAGGTGTCCAGCTGTGAAAGCCACTGTCACCTCCACCAGATCCCTCACTTCTGGGAGCCCCCCTACCACTTCATGCACCCGCCACTAGCTCGAAGACGGTTGGCAGTGGTGCCACAGCCACACAGTAGGGCACTTTCTGCCACTGAGAAAGGCTGAGGGGTGGCACATGCACTGAAGCCAAGAATTATCAAGGACACAGAGAAAGGGGAGATGAACAATCAGCAACCCCAGGGCCAGACACCTCAACTTTGACATTTCTGCTGCCTGGTCACCACAATAGATCCCGATGGAAAAGGGGCCAGGAAGTAAGGACGGCTGCAAACACGCACCACGACCTGAGGGCAACAGGCCCAGTCACCAAGCATGGACACGCCAACCACCTCACCCCAAGCCTGAAAGTCAGATGAAGTACTAGAAAAGGCGAGTTTCCTGTCAAAGCACCAACAAGCCTGACGAACGGCATAAAGACCATGGGGGGTGGGAACCAGCTGTTGTCCAGGCAGCAACAGGAACCCACTACCTCCTCCACTCCACACAAGGTGGTCATGGTCATGCAAGGTCGGCCGGCACCTGCTTCTGTGGAGGTCACATTCCCCTAAGACGGTAACAAGTGAACCCAGTGGGGACCACGCTGGCCTCACGACCAACCACTGCCCCAAAAGAACTGCCCAACAAGCCCTTTCCCCTACAGGCACCTGCCAACACTCCAGTAGCCTAACAGCTATTTAATACACGATATGTACATCAAGAAAAAGAGTGAATTATTCCTCAGACCAACCCTGTGTCCGTAGGGTGTGAAAACCCACCAATCCTCCAGTCTCCTCCAGAGGGAAGGAGGGATTCATGGGAAAGCAGGGCGCCCAGAAGCCCACATGCACTGACTCCGCCAACACTTCACCTATGTCCAGGGCTGGGTTCACCCCGAGGGCACCGGGTCAGGGCCAAGACCTGGAGCTGCCTCTCTGGCCAAGGGGGGAGGGAAATGTGCTATGAAAAAACACAGCCCCACAGGAACAAGACCACAGTGCCCTAAGGACAGGACATGGAGCTGAGGCCTGTGCCCAGCAGAAGGCAAGGTCATTCCTGCAGAGGGAGCAACCAGGCCTGGGCGTCCTACTGAGAGCTGAGAGGCCTGTGGGCCAAAGCTGTGAATTAATCGGGAGGTAACACTTGTGGCCAGGTAAGCTGGTGGCCAGGAGTGACACAAAGTGTGGAAGCAGCTGCTCAACACATACCTGGAACCACTCTGGGTCTGTCTCCAGAGTCTGCAGGTCTTTCACCTGCAGGTGATGCTCTCAAGTCAAGTGAAACCACACACAGAAGCACCTGCTCCACTGCGCGGCACAGACACTACAAACTGAGGGACTGTGGCAACCCCACAATGAGCAAGTCTATGGGCTCTATTTTCCAGCAGGCTAGGATGACGGTTAGCAATTTTTAGCAATAAAGTATTTTTACTTAAGGTATGTACACTGTTGTTTTAGACACAGAGCTACCGCACACTTCAACAGACATGACATACGCACTAAGGGTCCCCAAAATTGTTGTGGGCAACAATGGGAAAAGCAACAAGCTCCCCAACAAAAATGTGTAAAAGATTCACTTAGATACAGTTCACTTTTTCAAAATAAAATTTATCGATGTATAAGTGGAAAAACAAATCAATGTTTCTATATTTTTTTTTTTAAAAAAGTCAAAAAAATGTGCCCAGCCAGCATGGCTCAGTGGTGGAGCATCAATCTATGATCCAGGAGATCCCGGTTCGATTCCGGGTCAGGGCACATGCCCAGGTTGCAGGCTCCTCGATCCCCAGATGGGAGCGTGCAGGAGGCAGCTGATCAAGGACTCGTTATTGATGTTTCTCTCTCTCCCCCCTTCCTCTCTCTGAAATCAATACATGCACATACCTCGGTTGCTGGCTCGATCCTCGCCCCGGTTGAGGTGAGTGCGGGAGTCAACCAATCGATGTGTCTCTTTCACACTGATGTTTTTCTCTCTCTCCCCCTTCCAGTCTCTCTGAAAAAACAATGGAAAAAATATCCTCGGGTGAGGAATTTAAAATGAGCCCAACTCGTAATGAGCCCAGGCACAACTACTCTTGCAGTCTGTGACGAAACACCCAGGGACTACATCTTCATCTAGCCAAGCCACAGCAAAGGAGTCACGAAGCCAACGCCTGAAGTTTCAAAACATGAAAAACCTCCAGCACCTCTGGCAGCAGGCTTACCATTCCATTTTGATTGAACAGTATTTCCTGGAGCTTACTATGTGCTGGAGACACAGCAGTGGCCAAAACAGACCCAAATCTCTCTCCTCAGATCCTTGGGGGGTGGGGAGGATGAGAAATAAACAAAACATCCAGCACCCAGGACAGGGAGCAGTACGGCGTGGAGAAGCCATGGGCAGGAGTGGAGGCAATGGGCAGAGGCCCTGGGCAGGCCCGAGTGTTTCAGGTTGGGGAACGGCAGGTGTGCACCTAGAAGCAGCCATAGGCTCCCAGGAGGCTCTAGTGGAGACCCGTGTGCAGGGCCTTCCCCTCCTCCTGATGCAGCCACTCGGATCTGACCTGCCTGGGGGGCCCAGCTCCTGTACTCACTGCATCACACTGGGTCTGAGGTTTGCACTGGGTGTCCAGATAGAACACTCTCCATGCCAGTCTGCCCAGATCCCCCAAAGTAAATCATCCCCAAAGTAACTGGGCCCAACCTTTCCCCTGGCGGCCCAGACAAGCTCCTCGCTGGCTGGCTTCTGTCTGGAGGAACTGCCGGCTGCCTGTCCTCCCCCTCCCCCCGACTTCGATATCTTCACCAAGCGTGTTTAAAAATAAGATGAAATGCAGTTTGTTCCTCCTCCAACAAAATGTTCATGAGTGGCAAAAAGGCTAGTTAGCAACAGAAGCACTGTCTCTTCTAATCTGGTAACAGCCTATCTTGCGTGGTGACAACAGTTCAGTGGGACCATTTGTTTCTTACATAAGAGACCTGAGTGTTAGAATAACATTCCCGACAACCAACAGGCTTTGTTCAAGGGCCAGCTATTTTCTATACTAAACTAACCTTCCAGACAAGGAGTTATCAAATGTCTTCGCAAGGATCAAAAATCTTTCATAAAGAACCTATCTGCCTTGGCCGGTGTGGCTCAGTCGGCTGGGGCATTGCCTTGTACACTAGAAGGTGATGGGTTTGATTCCCAGTCAGGGCACGTGCCCAGGTTATGTGTTTGATCTCGCTGGGGCGAGTGCGGGAGGCAACTGATCAATGTCTCTCTCTCCTCCCTTCCCTCTCTGAGATAAAGGAAAAAGAGAAAAAGAGAAAAAGAGAAAAAGG